AAACATATCATTTCATTAGAGGCAGTTCAGATAGGGTTCATTAGGATGATCCCAGGTATGGAGGAATTTTCTTATGAGCAAAAGCCAAACAGGTTGGGACTCTTGTTGCAAAGTTGGGTAGAGTATTTGTGGATTGGAAGGCAAGGCATTAGAATTTGATGTTTGTAAAATGATAGTGGGGAAGAGTGTGTGGTCCCTTTAAAAGCTTAAGTGTTTTGCTAGGCTTGGAGATTTTTAAAATGTGTAGGGGCACAGAGAACTCCTGAAATTGAAAGATTGTATCAAAAAGCTGTGTGGTTAACAACCCAAGCAGTAGTTTGTTTTGTTAGTAAGGCAACCTGTCTGAAAATCAGCCAATTAATATGAACCAGGCACTTAGAAACTAAAAATCAATTGAATTTAAATCTAATGGTTTTGACAACTTAGGACCAATCCTATTGTAAGAAATTATTAGGTCATCAAGGGTATAAAAGAAGAGGGCATTTGAAAATTGGTGTGAAAGTAACTGCCAGCTAGTAGTGTTAATGACCCATCAGCTCTAAAGAGGAAAATTCACACAGACCTCTCTAAGCTCTTAGAAAGCCATCACCTAACTAAAGGCAAGCGGCGCTCTTAGCTAATATTCCTGACACAAGAATTAGACAGAGAAAGGTATTTCTGACTGAAGATCAGTGGAGAAGGCACAGAACTTACCGGAAGATGTATCCTGGCTGTAATTTTGAGAGATTAAGTTTTAATTTATATTATTATTACTTTGGTTTATATTAGTGGGACCTGTATTTATTGCAACAGCATGCCATTATAATTTTGTTTTATTCGGGATTAGTTAGTAGTTAAGGGGGAATTTTCCAGTTTGTTAGTAATTCTGTTAATTTGTTCACTGTTAAAGTTAGATAAATAAATAAATTGTTACTTGTTGATTATAGAATGAGTGAAAGGATTTCGTTTCATTTAACCACTTCTTTGTTACAGAATGGAGAGTGAGAGGCAAGTTATACAACTTTTCACACTTCTTCATAACAGATTATGAGGCGAGGTGCGCCTCTGTGGGTGTTTCAGTTATAGTTATCAGAGGGGGGTCAACCTCCACTTCGTAACACTCTACTCACTGGAGCTTTGAAGAATGAGAGGTGATCTCATTGAAACATATAGGATTCTTAAGGGGCTTGACAGGATAAATGCTGAGAGGATGTTTCCCCTCATGGGAGAGTCTGGGACCAGAGGGCATATGTAGGAATAAAGCAGCACCAATTTAAGACTGTGAGATGAGGAGGAATTTTTTTCTCTTAAAGCATTGTGAGTCTTTCAGACTCCTTGTCATGGAGCGCTGTGGGGGCAGAGTCCTTGTGTATATTTAAGGCTAAGTTAGAGAGATTCTTGATCAGTCGGGGAATCAAGGGTTATGGGGAAAGGACAGGAAAGCGGACGTGAGGAATGTTGGATCAGCCATGATCTTATTGAATGGTGGAGCAGCCTCAAGGGCCGAACGGCCTATACCTGTTCCTATTTTTTATGGTCTTGCAGTATGGGCTGACTAGTACCTTCTGTACTTTTAGCAAGACCTACTTACTTTTATACTGTATTCCCTTTGAAATTAAGACCAACTGTCCATTTGCCAGTTTGTCTGCCTCTGTGAGTTCTATAAAGTGGTTAGAGACTTAACTTTGTTAGGGACCAGACCAGATTCCTCAAAATATATTGAGAAGGTAGCCTTACCCTATGTTTTGGCATTTTAAAGGTAAATCTGCAGTGCTGTGTTCCAGATGTAATTCAGTTGTTCAAACTGCTTGACGTTAAGCAAAATACATTTTGTTCAAACACTATAGTTAAAATACAACAAAAGAAAGAGAAACTTGGAATAACAACTCTATTGGAAAACTTAACAAAATAATAGATTATTTTACTACTAAACAGTAACTGTGCCAGTATACTAACATCCCATAAACACATCCTCAGAAACATGCAATTCCAATAGCACAGGAGGAAAAACATCCAGGAAAAGCCAGAGATTGTGTAGCAGATAGGAGTGATTCACTGCCTTCCAAACCTGCCTAGACCCCAGCAACAACTGCTGCACGCTAAAACTAAAGATTCTGGTTCTGTACGTGGGAACTTGACCACATCCCTTCAGGCTGCTTCTATTGTTCCAAGTTTTAAAAAACCCAAGGTCTCAAAAGTTGTTTATCTTCTCATAGACTGCTCAGCACCTGTCCCCCAATCTGTCTAAAAGAAACTAGGACAAAATACAGCTCTTAAAGCCATAACATCCATCAGCTCGTAGAGTTATATATCGACAGTTCATAATTGCTTGCCTGTAGCTATTTATTTGTCATAAATAGCAATTTTTGTTAAGTATAGAAACCTGCTCCATGCTTTCTGTCAACCTGGGTCTGAAAGGACAGGTGAATGGGAATTTTGTGCACTTCTTTAAAATCGTTAACTTTTGACTCAACTCTGGGAGTAGCAGGGTTTCATTTCCAGTGTGCTACCCCAGTGGGGCATGGCACTAGTCCACTGACATTATCACTACATGGCCTTTCCAGGGTACCTTGCACTCATGTTTTTGGTTCACGAGTACTGTGCCTCCAGCACCTTCCTTGCTTTCTGTTGATGAGCTTACTGCTTATCAAAAAATACTGGGGAGTACCTGTGATTGGAAGAGCAGCAGTCAAGTGAGTGTTTAGACTGAGGGAGTTGCTTAGGGAGCATCTATCCGGGGTTGAGAACCAGGAGCCTAAGTCCAGCATCGAGGGCCAAGAGTCAGTGGGTGCAGGTACCTGCTGTCTTTTTGTCAAGTTGTTGGGGGAGCTATTTTGCTGAGCCAGAATAGGGAGAGGGGCATTGGGCCTGAGCCACCTTTTTACTAAGCTAGCCATTTGCCCACTAGACCAAGGGGCTTGGAAGCAAAGAGAAATAGAATGAGAGTCGGGGGAGGTATGGTGGTGAGTGGAAAGATGGTGGCCTTCAAGTGGCAGAGGAAGAGACAAAAAGGCTGCAAGTCAAATGAAATTAAATGGGGAGAAGGCGCTTAAACAAGGAGTTAGAAGGGCTAAAAGGGGTAATAAAAAGTCTTTAGCAAACAGAATTAAGGAGAATCCCAAGCTTTTTTATATATATGTGAAAAGCAAGAGGGTAGTCAGAGAAGGGGTTGGCCCACTCAAGAACAAAGGAGGGAATCTGTGTGGAGTCGGAAGAGGTAGGTGAGGTAATGAGTTACTTGCAAAAGAATGTGGAATCCCTAGCTTAGGCCCGCATGTGTTGACGTGGTACTATATGGCAGATGCAGTGGATGCTGTTGTAATGAACCTTGTGTCAACTTTTAACTTTAACTATGAGATTAGAGATGCAGTAGAAGGGGAGGTGGTGTTGTATTGATAATATGATTGGCTTGGGTTTTCTAGTCCAATGTTCTGGGGACATTGGGTTTGATTCACAGATGGTGAAATTTGAATTCAATTAAAAAAAATCTGAAATGGAGAGCTGACCTAATGGCAACCATGTAACCAATGTTGATTGTCATAAACACCCATCTGGTTCACTAATGTCCTTTGGGGAGGATAATCTACCATCCTTACCTAGTCTGGTTTACATATGACTTCAGATCCACAACAATGTGTTTGACTCTTAATTGCCCTCAGGCCAATTAAGGATAGGTATTTAATTCTGGGCCTAGTTAGCGATGCCCCCAACTCTAAACAATTTTTTTTGGAAGTATAGTCAAAACTGCCTCATTAACATATCAGCCATGATTATATCAAATATGAAGCAGGTTAAAGGGGCTGAATGACCTACTCTGCTCCTAATTCTTATGTTAGTATATTTCACCTTTGCAAATACGTCATGGAAACTCATTGACTGTGACCTTGTCAGACTGGAAGGTATGTTTAGGGTGATGACTTTTTATGTGTGTAGAAGTGTGTGCCAATTACTTTTACAAAAAACTTTTCTCGTCAAATTAGTGTATATAGTCTTAATGTTAAATACGATGGTGATAAGGAAATCAATGCTTTCCTTGTTTATTATCCCTTTAAATTTTATGGAGGATCGATAATTATTGAGAATAGTGATGTATTCTTATTCCTTTTCTTTGTGAGGCCAAATACCTATTCTTAAGCACAAATTCAGAAGGTCATGTTACTATGTGACTACACCACCTAATAAAGGAGTTAGTGAGAATGAAACCAAAAGGTAGCCCCAAAAATCAAAAAGTAACCCTACAAAATATCTTAAGAGGAGCCAATGGAAGGAAATTATTTGGTGCTGTGATCACAGCATTTAACAGGGTAGAGAGCAGTGCTGACTGTCCAGTGAGAATGCAAATCTGATGATTGTAGATATGTATTGGCAAGTTGGTCTCTTTGTGATTCGTTAAGAAGAACTTTCTGGGTCAGGCTATTAGCATGATAGAAAATTGAAGCTGTCATTTTTCCCACTTGTCTCCAGAAGTCCACAAATCAGAGCTCTGTTCCCTGTGTCCAACCCAAATTTTAAACCCTTCTTCTCCTTATATCCTTATTATTGAAATTAAGATTCATGGCACTGCCACTTATTCTCAATCTTTTATTTCCCACAGTCCCAATGCTATCCTAAATTTATCCCTACAATTCCTCTTCCCCTCTCTTACTACTTAACCTTGCTATCGTTCAACCATTAGTTCATGATTTGCCTTCTCTCTCATTCTCTGATATCAGTGTTGGCACTGTGAGCAGTGTTCTGTCTTCACTGAGGTTTGTACCATTAAAAATAATTGTTTTCTGTTCTAATTAATCAGTTGTATGATATGAAACCTGTGTGTGTGTTTGTTTTTTTCTCCCTTAAGTCCTATGATTAATTTCTCATAGGGCTGCCTTATTCGCTTCCACATGGTATGACACCTCTTGCCCTACACAGCCGCAGTCCCTAGTGGTACTGTGTGTGGCGCCAGTACCTTCTGTGGGATTGCTCCATTAAACCACAATAACAAGGATTACCCAGCTACCACCTGTTTGTTGATTTTGCAGGTCTTGGCAGATGTTTTCAATGCCCCAGTGTACACAATAGACACAGCTAATTCAGCCTGCCTGGGATGTGCTTACAGAGCAAAACATGGTATGTAGAAACTTGAGTCCTCTGAATGACTAGCCCAAGTGATGGCTCAAACCTTGTGAAGAGATGGAATGTTTAAGATTTTCTTTCAGCTAAATTATATTTTGTAATTGCTGTATGTGCATGTTTTCACCTGACTGTTTAGTTTCAGTGATTTCAGATTATCAATGTAACATACCCACATATGCTGCATGGAATTTATAGCAAGGACTAACTTGCGTCGTATTGGATCTTTTGGTGGTTACGCTTAACATGAGCTTCCTTCTCTCTTCTTCTCACCCAAACACTATAATATTCAGAGATAACAAGGTGCAGAGCTGGATGAACACAGCAGGCCAAGCAGGAAAGCTGACGTTTCGGGTCTGGACCCTTCTTCAGAAAATTTCTGAAGAAGGGTC